CAATTTGTTTATTGTCTCTTCCATTTCTATGGATTTCACTAGTTCTAAGTTTCTTATTACTGTCTTTGGTGTTGCTATTAACCATTACAGATAACTTTTGTAAACTTTTGTAATCAAGTAAAAAATATAAATAAGATTTTGCCAAGTCAGGATATCGGGGATATTCTGGTAATAAACAACCATGAATATTCTATTTTTACTGTGTGTGTGTATATATATATATTTTTTTTTTTTGAGAGACTTTTACTATAGTGTACGTGTGCTCGCCAGGCAGAAACAGAGAGACAGAAAGTGAGAAATTACCACCTGGGGGGATGCTCACACTGCAATCCCTTCTCCATTCTCCTCTTGGAATTATGGGCATGTACACATGCACCCAGCATGAGTTTTAAGTCGCCGGGTCTGGGACTCAAACTGTGGGGTCAACTATGTGGGAGTTCAGCGATGTAACCATTACACCATCTGCTGGCCCCGTGTTTATATATTTTTAATTTATTATGTAAGAGAGATACCTCAAAAAAGTAATCTGAATTAAACTTTGCATTTAAATTCCCTCTGAGTGTTCATGGAGAGTCAGGCACTGTATTAGATACTTTTATATTCATCATGTCTGCGTGGAGGCCATTCAGTCTAACAATTAAACAAACTTTGGCACTACATAAATCTGGGTTCAGATCCTGATTCTGTGTATATGTAGGAACTAACTCTGTGAATTTAGGCAAATTGTCTCATAGTTTTAACTTCTCTATAACGGGGAGACAAAAATAGCTGCCTTACAGGGTTGTGGTAAAAGCTGCCAGGCCTACAAATAAATACTATACTCCATTTATGTTAACAAAAGACGTTAAAATTCAGGCATTTCAAAAAAACCCATCATAATCCAGAGACGACTTACCTCAACCTTTTTATTCAAATCTTTACATTCTTGCACTAAACAATCTTTGGTTCCATAAAATAAATAAACGGCCTATGAGAAATGAACAGAAAGTATGACATTAAAATAATCTAACAAACCCTGTAAATGTTAAGAAAAAACACTGCACCAAAGCTCCTGAGAGGACCACATGCTGATGAAAGAGAGGTCATCGAAAGCGACATACTCTGTGCAAACTTCACCGAGTCTAACATTTCCAGCCCAGAATTAATTTTTTTAGAGAGTTTTTTTGCTATAGGACACGTGCACTTGCTAGAGAGAAAGAAAGTGAGAAATCACCTCCCAGGGGAGATGATCACACTGCAATCCCTTTTCCTCCATTCTCCTCTCGGGATTTTGGGCACACATGAACATGCATGCGGCATGAGTTTCAAGCCACGAGGTCTGGGACTTGAACTGTGGTAGACTACATGGGAGTCCAGAGTCTTAACCACACCTGCTGGTCCCTAGCCTAGACATTTCTTTTTTTTTTTTTTTTTAGAGGTCTTTGCTATAGGGCGCGTGCGCTCGCCAGACAGATAGAGACAGACAGAGAGACAGAAAGCGAGAAATCACCCCCCATGGGGGATGGACACGCCGCAATCCCTTCTCCTCCATTCTCCTCTCAGGATCTTGGGCATGCACGCACACATGCCCAGCGTGAGTTTTAAGCCACCGGGTCCAGGACGCAAACCGCAGTCGACTACGTGGGAGTCCAGCAACACAGCCATTACGCTAACTGCTGGTTCCCCAGCCTAGACATTTTAAAAGTTAAAACTGGAAACCTCTGAGGGCAGCAATGACAATATATGATTAAGAAATAAGGTGTAAATGTTACTAACGTATTATAAACACTTGGCATAATTTTTAATTTTACAATTTATTCTATTATGCAATGGTTTAAAAATTCTAGCTGAACTTTTTTTAATCATCTTTTTTTTTTTTGAGAGTATTTTTTTGCTGTAGGGTGTGTGCATTCGCCAGAAAGACAGAGAGAGACAGAGAGACAGAAAGCGAGAAATCACCCCCCACAGGGGATGGCCATGCCGCAACCCCTTCTCCTCTATTCTCCTCTCGGGATCTTGGGCACGCATGCATAAACACCCAGCATGAATTTAAGCCACTGGGTCAGGGACTTGAACTGCAGTCAACTACATGGGAGTCCAGAGACATAGCCATTACGCCAACTGCTGGTCCCAACTTTTTTTTCTCTAGAGTACATGTTCTTCTCACCAGAGAGACAGACAGACAGACAGAAAAACAAAGAGACAGAGATAAAGTGAGAAATCACCTCCCAGGGTGGATGGCCATGCTATACCGTCTCCAATTTCCTCTCAGGATTTTGACTACACATGCACACACACACCCAGTGTGATTTTCAAGCTCCTGGGTCTGCGACTTAAATTGCAGTCAACCATGTAGGAGTCCAGCACCTTAACCACCATGCCACCTGGTGGTCCCTTTAGGTGATCTTTTAAACCATTAATTGCTTAATAGAATGAATTGTTAAATGACGTATGGATGAAATGTTAATCATTCTTCTTTTAGAAGGCAACAATAAAGGCTATTACTACTAAGCTTAGCCCATTTTTTAGGGGAACATAGAGTATAGGGGTGGTTTCTGTCTTAATGGTGTTTTCTCTCAATTTATCCAAATACTATATTTTATTTAAAAAGCAGTATATTAAAATTGGAAAATTCCACCTTTCCCTAATACTCCAGATTACTTAAGGGAAGTAAAGCAATAAATCCACCAAATATTTTCTAATCACCTTTGAACACACAAAAGCTGACAGAAGAAATGAGATTTCATTACCAAATGTATAAACAGCAATACTTATCACCTTAGTAACTATTAGTAATAAAGGGAACTATTTTATTTATTTTTTAAAGAATTATTTTATTTATTTATTTATTTATTTATTACTTTTTCACATGAGTTTTGCCAGAGAAAGACAGAGAGAGAGGGGGAGAGTGAAAAAACACGCCACCAGGTCCGGGACTCAAACTGTGGTTGGCCAAGTGGGAATCCAGCACCTTAACCACCATGCCACCTGCTGGCCCCATAGGGAACTATTTTAAAATGTGAACTATTTGCAAAACAGAATCAGGAACATCACTGTTTTGCATTTGTTTTTCACATTCTATTGTTTGATCACCAAAAGATATTGAAAAAATTACCAAACAAATCTTTCATCAGAGAATCAACTACTCGACTTACAACTAACAGCCTTGGTAAAGGAGCTGCTCTTTCCTTATCTTGCTGCTTCCTGGAGTTTTTCCAAAGTAAACAAGATGTACTTGTCACTAATGACTTCACTGAATTTATTCTGCCTAACATTTTTTCCCAATTTCAGCCATTTCAAGATAAGCTATCATATTCCATTCAGTTGCCATCAAGCAAAACATGCTGCATTTGCATTTTAAAAAGCTGTTCCAGCCGTAAAAGACTATTAAAATGTAATTAAGGATCTAATTCAACAGTCTAACACAAAAACAGAGCAGGTAAATGGTTCCATGAGTTAGTTCAATCCAAATCTATGAATGCTAAATATAATTGAACTATTGATTTTTACTGTACCTTCGGTGATAAGCAGGAAATGTTATTTTATCCAACACACCTTATTAAGAATTCTGCTAGAAAACAGAGATGGTGCCTTCTCACGATGAGCATGAAAATTGAGAGCCATAAGAGCATCAGGTCCAACAGAAAAATAGTTGTTCATTGTGAATTCCTGTGAGAAAGGGTTACAAGTAAGTAACAGACGCTTCTGTTCAAGCCCACATCGCAATTAAACATGTAAATCTGAGTCTTTGCGTTTTTCTTAAAAATGGAATACTTTGTGCATTCGCTTTTCACATAGAGCTATTTTATGCTGTGTGGTGAAATTCTCAGAAGCCTCCGTGCAAAGACTGATATCTATAGATATTCTCCCATTTTCTCTTTCTGTGTAATATGCTGCACCTCTGACCCTACCAGCTGGAATGGCTCTGTTCAGGATCCAGGTTTTTCACTCCTCAGTTCCCATTACATTTGCTTTTCACTTTTATCACAAACCCCAGGCTCTTGGCTTCTGCCAGTCCCAACGTGAGCCACTGGGCCCCTTCACCTACCTGCCCAACCCAGTGTGAATTCTGACGTCGATCAGTTCAGCTCCTGCACTCAACCATATCTTTACCAGCAATTCCCTTGTGATCGTTCCCCCATCAGCCTAATTTGTAAATTTTCTCTAAGTATTTCTTTGAAAGAATGATCTCTACACAAATATTTTTGGTTAACTCCTTTTTATTAGTGAGTAGTATAGCCTGGTAAGGAAGAGAAACACTTTCTTTTAACATATACGTCACTCAAATATTTATAATTTATTTGTAATGAGAACATTTAAAATCTTTTCTTCCAGCTATTTTGAAATATACGTTGTTGTTATTATTAACTATAGTTACCACAGGGTATCAGAACTTACTCTAATTGAAACTTTGTACTCATTTCTCTTACTCCCTTCCCTTTCTGCATTCTATTTTCTCTCTCTTTTTTTTAAAGAATTACTTATTTTATTTATTATTATTAATTTGCTATAAGGTATGGGTGCTCCCCAGAGAGAGAAAGAGAAAGAGAGAGAGAGAGAGAGAGAGAGAGAGAGAGAGAGAGTGAGAGAGAGAGGGAGAGAGAAAGCCACCAGGTAAGGAGCTTAAATCACAGCCATGTGGGAGTCCAGCACCTTAACCACCACGCCACTCGCTGGCCCTCTACTCTGTAGTTTATAAGTTCAACTTTTTAAGATTCCACAGTAAGTGAGATCATTGGTATTTGTCTCTCTGTGCCTGGTTTATTTCACTTAATTTTACTTAGTGTAAGGTCTTCTAGTTTATCCATATTGTTACAAATGACAGAATTTCCTCTTTTTTGTTTTGTTTTGTTCAGGCTGAAGAGTGTCCCATTATGTAAATACACCACATTTAATAATCCATTCTTGGGGCCAGCAGGTGGCATGGTGGTTAAGGTGCTGGACTCCCACATAACTGACCAGTGGTTTGAGTCTCGGACCTGGTGGCTTGCTTCTTGCTTTTTCACTTCCAGTCTCTCTCTCTCTCTCTAACTCACATGGTGAGTGCATGTGCCCTTTAGCAAATTACAAAAATATGTAAAAATTAAAAAAAAACCAAATAAATAAAAAAGTAATTTTTTTGGAGAGGTTTTTGCTATAGGGCATGTGTACTCGCAAGACAGAGAGACAGAAAGTGAGAAATCATCCCCCAGAAGGGATGGCCACACTGCAATCTCTTCTCCTTCATTCCCCTCTTGGGATGCTGGGTACGCACGCATGCATACGTGCCCAGTGTGAGTTTAAGCCACCAAGTCCAGGACTCAAACCGTGGTCAACTACATGGGAGTCCAGCGATATAGTCATTATGCTGACTATAATGACTGGTCCCTAAATAAATAATTCTTAAAAAATAATCATTGGTGCACTGATGGACACTTGGCCTGCTTCCATATTTTGGCTATTATGGATAATGTCCAGTCATGGGGTTGCTGGATCATATATTGATAATCCTATTCTTATTTTTTTGAGGAAGTTCTACTGTATTTCCCAAAATTGTACTAATTTATACTACAACCAAGAGTGTGTAAGAGTACCCTTTACTTCACATGCTTGTCAACGTTTATTATCTACTGATCAATGTTACAGGTTAGGAAGCCCTATATTTTTAGGGTCAGTTGATTTTTCACAAAGGTACCAAGAACTCACAATGGAGGAAGGACAGTCTCTTCAATAAATAGTGGTGAGAAACATGCATCCACATGCAAAAAATTCCGAAAATGGACTATATCTCAGCCCTTATACAAGAATCAACTCAAAATGGCTTACAGACTTAGAGTGTAATAACTGAAGACATAAAACTATTAGAAGAAAACATAAGGGAAAAGCTCCATGACACTAGTCTGGGTAGTGATTTCCTAGCTATGGCCCTAAAAGTAGAGGCAATGAAAACAAAAATAGACAAATGGGATTGCATCTAAAAAAGCTTCTGCACTGCCAAGCAAATAATTAAGAGTGAAGAGACAACCCACAGATTGAGAGAATATATTTGGAAACCATATTAGATAAGGGGCTAATATTCAAGATACACAAGGAGCCCAAACTATTCAATAACAAGAAAATAACTATTAAAAATGAGAAAGGACTTAAATACACATTTCCCAAAAGAAGACACCAATATAGTCAAAAGATAAATTAAAATATTCAACATAACTAACCAAGCAAGTGCAAATTAAAACCACAATGAGCTATCACCCCATACCTCTTTGACTGGATATTCTCAAAAAGGGAAATTCATCTTTAATGTTGGCATTTCAGGAACTATGATAAGTGACAAACACTTTACTATTTTTTGGAGAGGTTTTTGCTATAGGGTGCATGTGCTCACCAGAAAGACAAAGAGAAACAGAGATAGAAAGCAAGAAATCACCCCCCCCCCAATGGGGATGGCCATGCTGCAATCCCTTTTCCTCCATTGTTTATCCATATTGTTACAAATGACAGAATTTCCTCTTTTTTGTTTTGTTTTGTTCAGGCTGAAGAGTGTCCCATTATGTAAATACACCACATTTAATAATCCATTCTTGGGGCCAGCAGGTGGCATGGTGGTTAAGGTGCTGGACTCCCACATAACTGACCAGTGGTTTGAGTCTCGGACCTGGTGGCTTGCTTCTTGCTTTTTCACTTCCAGTCTCTCTCTCTCTCTCTAACTCACATGGTGAGTGCATGTGCCCTTTAGCAAATTACAAAAATATGTAAAAATTAAAAAAAAAACAAATAAATAAAAAAGTAATTTTTTTGGAGAGGTTTTTGCTATAGGGCATGTGTACTCGCAAGACAGAGAGACAGAAAGTGAGAAATCATCCCCCAGAAGGGATGGCCACACTGCAATCTCTTCTCCTTCATTCCCCTCTTGGGATGCTGGGTACGCACGCATGCATACGTGCCCAGTGTGAGTTTAAGCCACCAAGTCCAGGACTCAAACCGTGGTCAACTACATGGGAGTCCAGCGATATAGTCATTATGCTGACTATAATGACTGGTCCCTAAATAAATAATTCTTAAAAAATAATCATTGGTGCACTGATGGACACTTGGCCTGCTTCCATATTTTGGCTATTATGGATAATGTCCAGTCCTGGGGTTGCTGGATCATATATTGATAATCCTATTCTTATTTTTTTGAGGAAGTTCTACTGTATTTCCCAAAATTGTACTAATTTATACTACAACCAAGAGTGTGTAAGAGTACCCTTTACTTCACATGCTTGTCAACGTTTATTATCTACTGATCAATGTTACAGGTTAGGAAGCCCTATATTTTTAGGGTCAGTTGATTTTTCACAAAGGTACCAAGAACTCACAATGGAGGAAGGACAGTCTCTTCAATAAATAGTGGTGAGAAACATGCATCCACATGCAAAAAATTCCGAAAATGGACTATATCTCAGCCCTTATACAAGAATCAACTCAAAATGGCTTACAGACTTAGAGTGTAATAACTGAAGACATAAAACTATTAGAAGAAAACATAAGGGAAAAGCTCCATGACACTAGTCTGGGTAGTGATTTCCTAGCTATGGCCCTAAAAGTAGAGGCAATGAAAACAAAAATAGACAAATGGGATTGCATCTAAAAAAGCTTCTGCACTGCCAAGCAAATAATTAAGAGTGAAGAGACAACCCACAGATTGAGAGAATATATTTGGAAACCATATTAGATAAGGGGCTAATATTCAAGATACACAAGGAGCCCAAACTATTCAATAACAAGAAAATAACTATTAAAAATGAGAAAGGACTTAAATACACATTTCCCAAAAGAAGACACCAATATAGTCAAAAGATAAATTAAAATATTCAACATAACTAACCAAGCAAGTGCAAATTAAAACCACAATGAGCTATCACCCCATACCTCTTTGACTGGATATTCTCAAAAAGGGAAATTCATCTTTAATGTTGGCATTTCAGGAACTATGATAAGTGACAAACACTTTACTATTTTTTGGAGAGGTTTTTGCTATAGGGTGCATGTGCTCACCAGAAAGACAAAGAGAAACAGAGATAGAAAGCAAGAAATCACCCCCCCCCCCAATGGGGATGGCCATGCTGCAATCCCTTTTCCTCCATTCTCCTCTCAGGATCTTGGGCATGCACACACGTGTGCCAGGGGCTGGAGTTTAAGCCACTGGGTCCGGGACTCGAACTGCGGTCGACTACATGGGAGTCCAGCAACATAGCCATTACGCCAATTGCTGGTTCCACTGACAAATACTTTTGAGCACAGGAACCATTTCAGAGGCTCTCAACACCTCCTCTAATTTCTCTAATTTTAAAATTCAATTTTTAATAAAAGAAATTCACTTTAGTAAATCACATACAGTCATCCTTTGTGTCCAAGGAGGGATTGCGGCCATGGCCCCCCAGCAGATAGCAACATCTGAGGATGCTCAAGTTCTTATATAAAATAGGATAGTATTTGCTCGAAAACCCTGTACATCCTCCCACATACTAAGTTATCTCTACATTACTAACAATACCTGATACAATGCAAATATTAGGTAATTAGTTGCTATACAGATTTTTTTTTTTTTTTTTTGGGTAGAAGGCATGTGCATTTGTTGGAGAGAGACAAAGACAGACAGAGGAAATGGGAAAGCATCTTCCAAGAGGAATGGTCCCATTGTAATC